ACCTTTTATGGCACATCTTCGATACACTTGCAAGATGCTTCTGATTTCATTGCTGCTCCACCATCTATTGTTGAAATGCTGCAAAGACACAGTGGCATCAGAAATGTATCCAACACCAAGTTGCATGCCTGGGCTCCTTGCTTGCTGTCATAGCTTTCAGACGTTTGCAGGATTACTATATTATAGACTAGACTAAATCCCCTCAAAATATATTAAGAAGATAGCCTAGACCTCAACTTTTCTCATTTTTAAAGGCAAACGTAAGGCATTATGTTCTGAATGCAGTTTGATTGGTCAAACTACCAAGCTTGAAGTAAAATACACTTCTTTGCATTTTAACTATAGTATAAAAAAATCAACAAAAGACAGATGAATCAGAATAACTTAACTCTATTGGAAAATTTAACAGAATAATAGATTATTTAACTGCTGAACAGCAAGTGTTCCAATATAGTAACATCCCATAAACACACAATTGGCAAAGGCAAATTCAATAAAATCGATTGTCTCACAGGCAATTCCAGCAGCAGGAAGAGAACCCCAACTTTTAGCTGTAACAGAGCCAGTAATAACAGCTTCCACATCCAGCTCCAAGACCCCAGCGACTGCTGAAAACTAAAAGTAAAATCCTGGTTCTGTGGGAGCTTGATGCCACCCCTTCATGCTGTATCTAGTGTTCCAACTATTCTTATAAAAACCAAAGCTAGCTCAGTTCATCTCCAAGTTTTTACAACACTTGCTTTCAAAAGAAACATGACTGAACAAATCCTGAAAGGCACATCTCAACACCTACCTTGTCTTGCTTTATTGCATTTTGCCCTTCAGCCAAAGATACCAGGCTCCTATTACTGCTGTCTTGCCATGCTGCTTAGCACAGATACAGAGGAAGGAAACATGTCATAGTGGTCATCTGGTGTCAGTCAAGTCAAGGAGAATATCCTGTGGCTTCTGGCACAGGAAGTGAAGGGCAACGCCCAATATCGATCTAGGGGCTTGGAAATCATCAGCTGGCCACTTGAGGCAGTCGGGATACTGTTCACTTAAGGGCTGAGGAGTTGAATGTCGGTCATCCCACTAGCAGTCTTGACTCTTTCTCCCCTATTGGGGCTGCTTTCCTCCTGGAATATGAGAGGCAAATATTAAGGGATATGAAAATAAGTGGCATGGCTAAAACTTGCAGTGCAGGTGGGGTGGTGTCCTGTGCAAGTGATTAGATACAGAGGGCTTACAGGATTACTGGTGTCAGAAGTTTAGGTGGATACCAGTGAGTAAAGGAAGATGTTTTGAAGGCATTTAAAGTGATAGATCGTGAGCATTGTTGTGAAGTAGATAGAGTGGCAGAAACAGTCGAAGGTATCAAAGGGAAGTTGGGTGGCACTTACTGTGGTGATGGAGAAAGTCATTGACCTTATTCCAATAGTGAATTCCTTTTAGAGATAGTAGGAACTGCAGATGCTGGAGAATCCGAGACAACAAGGTGCAGGGCTGGATGAACACAGCAGGCCAAGCAGCATCATAGGAGCAGAGAGGCTGACGTTTCGGGCTTAGACCCT